CTGATTTAGCCCACTGCATTAAAAGGTTATTAAGGGGGTAAAATGAACTGTTTAAGTCATAAGTAGAGGGTACATCTTGAAAAATACAATGACCCTTTATTTTATTTTATTTATTTTTTATTGACTGAGACATTCCCCCGGACATTTCCCCTGGACATCGCCCCGGACATCTCAGGATGCCCCAAACAACTGTTTTCAAACAGTTGTTTGGGGGTACCCTTATCTACATATAGTGACCTATTGTGTACATCCCAGGATGGACAACCTATTGCCCATTTATATATGGATTTGCTGAGAAAGGGTAAAAGTGAAACAGGTTTAAAAAACAGTTGGTTCAAACACACATACAGACACATTCACAGAGACAGAGGTCCAGACACAACTGTTTTTCAGACAGTTGTTTGGGGGACTGAGGGGTAAAGGGTCCCACCAACGAACCAATCATGTTGACTATTAAAATATATGGATCTGATGAGAAGTCTTTTTGAAAGTTTAAAGGTTAGACAGGTAAAAAAATTAAACTTGGTTCAAACATACACACACACACGCACACACACAAACACATCCCACCCAGACCCAATTGGCTCTTGTGTAGAGAGAGAGAGAGATCGGGGAGACAGAGGTCCAGTGGAAGAGATATTTAATTAAAAGGTAAATACACATTTTAAGTCTCTTTATTTTATTCTAAATCTTTAGTACATACATTTAAACATACATATTACTATTATTAAAGTTTTACTATATAATATGAAACTATAACCATGATATTTTTTTAGTTTTTTTTTTACTAAACATTCATATAGATAATCCATATTAATATTATTACACAATATATGTTTATATGTATAATCATTATTTTTGTTGGAAAGACGTTTTTTTTTTTACATGTATTTTGTTCATAGAATAAATGTTTTCAGCTGGGCTGAAAGAGTACCTAATTGTCATACTTGACTACATGACTCAAATACATGACTCAAGTAAAATTGAAAGTCACCCAGTAAAATACTACTTAATTAAAAGTCTAAAAGTATTTGGTTTTAAATATGTGTAAGTATCAAAAGGAAATGTAATTGCTAAAATATACTTAAGTATCAAAAGTAAAAGTATAAATCATTTCAAATTCCTTATAAGCAAACCAGACGGCACAATTGTTTGTGTTTTTAAAATGTATGGATAGCTAGGGCCACACTAACACTCAGACATTATTTACAAATGAATCATTTGGGTTTTGTGAGTCCCCAGATCAAAGGCTGTAGATGTGACCAGGGATGTTCTCTTGATAAGTGTGTGAATTGGACCATTTTCCTGTCCTGCTAAGTATTACAAATGTAACGAGTACTTTTCAGTGTCAGGGAAAATACAGTTGAAGTCGGAAGTATACATACACTTAGGTTGGAGTAATTAAAACTCGTTTTTTCAACCACTCCACAAATTTCTTGTTAACAAACTATAGTTTTGGCAAGTCGGTTAGGACATCTACTTTGTGCAGGACTAATTTTTTTTGTAGACCTTCACAAGTCTGGTTCATCCTTGGGAGCAATTTCCAAATGCCTGAAGGTACCATGTTCATCTGTACAAACAATAGTACGCAAGTATAAACACCATGGGACCACGCAGCCATCATACCGCTCAGGAAGGAGACGCGTTCTGTCTCCTAGAGATGAACGTACTTTGGTGCAAAAAGTATAATTGAGGCCTTTCCCAGTCATGAAGAACGAAGCTAGGCCCCTCTTGGTTCTCATTGGCGAAGACTAAACTCAAGTTAGGGGTTATATGTCAGACTCTTTTATACCACTTTGCCCAACATGTTATACCCCAGAAGTTGTAAATAAACCATTTTTAAGGTGATATAACTTGTATCATTATTATAGAGCTGTGAAACCCATAGCCGAATGGCTTCAGACTGAGCATTTCTCACTGGAAATTGCTGCTGACATTTAACATAGTTTAGGGTTAGGGTATTTAATTCATTTCAGACTCTCCTATGCCACTATTCTCAACATCTTATACCCCATAGAATGTAAATGGCTTCAGAATGAGCATTTCTCACCATTTATTTCCAGCAATCAATTTCCATTTTATAACAGCTAGTGTCGTTTTATTTACAGTAGTGTGTTGACTAATTATTGCTTTCTTCAGTGGAAATACAGAATATGTATAAAAATGCCAAATATATAAAAAGCTAAATCAAGCAGAGATGTACGACTATTTAGCCATGTTAATCATTACGGAAACATGCAAACTACAAACATTTAACCCGTTAAAGATAATGAATACATGACTACTAGATACAAATATTTTATAAAAAATAATTCATACAAAAGTCAAGAGTTGGCTATAACATGAGTACAAACAAAGTGAGTGTGTGTATATGTGTGTACGTTTTTGTGTGCGTGTGCATGTGTATTATGGTGTGTATTATAATTTCCAATCATAAAAACGTATCCCCATTCCCCAATCAAATACCTTCATCGATACCAAAAAGCAAAAAACATTTTGTATTTTTTCTCTAATCTGGTAAACCTCATAAAATGTAACATAGCCTTGTATAAAATGCATTATGAAACAAATGGTGTAATGTACATGAAAAAGTGGAGCCTTGTATTAAATGCATTATGAAGAAAATTGTGTAGGCCTTTCTGACTACAAGTGCACCAGTATCCCAAAGTATTAAGTGAAAACAAGCATAGAAAACAGTATTGGCAGTAATAAAATAAAAAATAACGTAGGGCTACTATTATAATATATTTACTATTATACTATTATTATTTCTGTGACAACCTGGTTCATTAACAATATTGGGTTGTTAACACGTTTGTTTTTTTATATAAATAAATGTGGGACACAAAACAAAAGGCAGTGTAGAACATCATGCATTGCTTTAATAACTTTCAAAAGATTGTTCTGAAGTTTGCCCCCAAAATATGTATTTTCCTAGGAATGAAGTTGCACAAAAATGTGTGTGTTTTCCTACGAGTCTTTTCACATTGCATACAATGGCACCAGAGGGGATGGCTGCCGTTTTATGGACTCTTAACCAACCGTGGTATTTTGTGTGTTTTTTTGCAATGTTTGTAACTTATTTTGTACATAATGTTGCTGCTACCGTCTCTTATGACCGAAAAGAGCTTCTGGACATCGGAACAGCGATTACTCACCTTGAACTGGACGAATAATTTTTCTTTAATGAGTCGGACGAGAGGGATTTGCCCCAGACACCTGACAGGGCCCTCATCCCCGTCATTCGCAGTAGAAAGAAAAGGAGATATCTCGGAAGGAGATCGGGGAGCATGGTTAGGAGCCTGTGATGAGTGGCTAATCTGCTTTTGCCATCGATACTATTGGCCAATTTACAATCCCTTGATAATAAAGTGGAGGAACTACAAGCACGTACATCCTACCAACGGGACATTAAAAACTGTAATATGTTTTACCGAGTCGTGGCTGAACGAAGAATTTAATAAAATACAGCTGGCGGTTATACACTGTATCGGCAGGATAGAACAGCAGCCTCTGGTAAGACAAGGGGTGGCGGTCTATGTATATTTGAAAACTCTACACCACCTTTACTCCACACACAGAGACCCGGACAAAGCTCTCCCTCGCCCTCCATTTGGCAAATCTGACCATCATTCTATCCTCCTGATTCCTGCTTACAAGCAAAAACTAAAGCAGGAAGCACCAGTGACTCGGTCAATAAAAAAGTGGTCAAATGAAGCAGATGCTAAGCTACAGGACTGTTTTACTAGCACAGACTGGAATATGTTCAGGGATTATTTCGATGGCATTGAGGAGTACACCACATCAGTTTTTGGCTTCATCAATAAGTGCATCGATGAAGTCGTCCCCACAGTGACTGTACGTACATACCCCAACCAGAAGCCATGGATTACAGGCAACATCCGCACTGAGCTAAAGCGTAGAGCTGCCGCTTTCAAGGAGCGGGATTCTAACCCGGAAGTTTATAAGAAATCCAGCTATGTCCTCCGACGAACCATCAAACAGGCAAAGCATCAATACAGGACTAAGATCGAATCGTACTACACCGGCTCGGACGCTAGTCGGATGTGGCAGGGCTTGCAAACTAATACAGACTACAAAGGGAATCACAGCCGCGAGCTGCCCAGTGACACGAGCCTACCAGACCAGCTAAATTACTTCTATGCTCGCTTCGAGGCAAGTAACACTGAAACATGCATGAGAGCATCAGCTGTTCCGGACAACTGTGTGATCACGCTCTCCGTAGCCGATGTGAGTAAGACCTTTAAACAGGTCAACATTCACAATGTCTAGATGTCTATAAATTACGTATTTTCAACTTTCATTCAAAACCGAAAATGAACCTGACTTCAACATCTGGAAAATACATATTTTCACCTTTAATTCAGAACCTAAATTGAAACTAACTTCAATGTCTGGAAAAATTCGTATTGTAGACGTGTTTTAACGTTATTTTGCTTACTGGGACTATTCTCGGAAGGGGCGGCAATTTGGTTGAATCGCCTAGGGCGGCAGAGTGGCCAGGAAGGATCCGTCACATGAGCACTTTCACTTTCCAAATGTTATTTGAAGTGGCCTTCCGTGCTGACGGGAGATCTATTTTATATTCGAAAATAACAATAACAACATGTTGTAGGCCTACAGCTGAAAACGTTTTGATTACGTCCATCGTCCAAACTGGAATGTAGGCTATTTTCGTCTCGATTGCTTTTGCGCGTCAATCGTCTGAGTGAATCAATCCGCCCTGGGCCTGTATTGAAACGTAAATAGCCTACAATCATACTTTAATTTATGAATCTATATGTGCAACCCAATATGAACCGGTTCGTTAATTATTAAACTGTTAATAATATTCAATGACCTGGTAAATATAGCATTTTTTTCAACAAAGAAAACTGATTTGAAGAGGTGAACTGCAGTTGCGATCGGCGCCAATGGACCGGTTGGATTTTCTGACAGATAAGCAGTTACTGCAGTTTTTCCACTGTAGTAGGACAGAGATGTCGTGCATGGAGAAACCACACACCTTTCTTAACCAGCTCCGAGACCACCACCTCATTCCGGAGAAAATGCACAAGGTGAGAGCAAATACTCAAAGGTTAAATGTAATCCTATCGGTCACAATACCGAAAAAAAAACTTGGGTAGGCCTACTTTACATGCTTTAAATAAGGTAAAGTTGTAATTAACAAATAAGTAATATATTATGCATTATTAAGGTGAAGTATGATTCAGAGAAGTTTCATTAAATTTCTCAAAATGGTCACAAGACAAGGATAAATCTCGAAGGTGTAGACCTACTTTTACACCAGAAGTCTGTATTCAACAGCTTAAAAAACACTTTTTTTGTTGAAATGTTTTAATATTTACATTTTTAATATTTTGTTTAATGTTTAAAGGGTCTAGTTTACATAGGCTGTGTGCCTTAATTTTCAACACATTTACTTTAAAGGGGTCATCATGAATTTGACTGTAATTTATAGTCAGCTCTGTGGCAAGTAAAATTCAGTATTTAATATTAAAGTACACCTACTGTAATATAAATACAGTATCATAGCAAGTACTGTGTAATGACACAGTACAATACTGTAAACATTACTGTATTAGGCCTATACTGTAAAAAAAAGTAAATGCTACCATCATCGAAATGAATGAATGATTGGCTGAATGAATTGAGGTGAGGTCCTAAACCTAGCATAAAAGTGCATCCTTGTAGCTGTGTGGGCTAATATAGTCAAACTGTTTGCCCTCAGGTAAATTGAGCCAAAGGAAATTGGGTAAGTTGAGCCAATGGCAAATTGAGCAAATTGAAGTGTTTCCTTCCCAGGCGTAATGCAAGGCATTATTGCTGGGATATAAGGAAACAACAGGGCCTGTCCTATGTAAAAAGTGTTTTTAAGAAGTGTTTGTTAGGTGTTAAGCCTGTGTTAAAAGATGCTTAAAATTATTAAAACACAAAAAATTATTGGGATTGTGTTGAATTGTGTTTGGGAAATAAAGATAAACATGGTTTTAAAAAGGTAGTGGCAATATTTCATTCAGTACAGACATTTTTAGGCGGCTTAACTTACCCTGTCCCGCAGCTCATCTTACCTCATAAATTGTGCCAAGAGACCGCTTTTTTGGGACTAATTATGTTAATAATTATCAAAATTGTCATGTTTACATGAATTCTGATTATTTCCGGGGATACACAACATCATGTGAAATATATGTAGATATCTTTGTTAGAAAGAACACTATATTTCCCTTGACGGAGTGATGCTGAATGTAAAAAATGGGTCAACTTACCCCACTCTCCTCTAAAGTGTTTACATTTCACAGCATATTCATTCATATTTTGTGTTTTATAGTGATGTTACGTTTGATATCGGAGCTCCGAGGCATGCGTCAAAATCGCTAAGCAGCTAACTTCGAAGCAGTGTGCTGATGCGTGTATCACTTTATCAGAAGTATGTAATCAATGACGTCCAAAGCTTCATTTGATCACGTGCATTTTCAAACCGTGTGTTACAAAATGTGAAATCCTACTAATTTCTCTTTGGTTCCGGTGCTTTCTTCGATTCCAAGCTGCTTTCAAATACTGACCTGTATTGGACACGTACTTACAAATATAGTTCGAATTTTGTACAAAAAGTTTCATCTGAACGGTAGCTTAGCTGGTAGAGTAGAGAACATTCCGGGACGTGAGGGTATGAGGTAGAATCCTGTTGAAGGCACACTATTTAGACAATTGTTTTATGTGAAAGAACACTTTCTGCACTGTTCAAATAATTTGTTATATTTAGTATAGTATAAGCTTCTGTCTTAAGCATCCTAAATAATGCCATAGATTCAGATTTTGAAAAATAGTAAACTTGAAGGCAAAAAAGGGAAGCTTGATGTAAGATGCAAAGCTGGTATTCCAACTGATTATAGGCTACTGAAGCCAACAACTTACTGCTGCGCCACAGAGTTTTGATGAAAACAGTGGAGAAAAACGACATCTATCGGATAATCATTCGCTGCTATTTATTGCTAACCAGCAGATGTCACTAATGTGCATTGTGAACAGATAATGAAGCTCAGTTTTTTGGCACATTTTGGTGAAAGCGCTGAAGCCTTCATTAAGCATCGGTTTCCCATCACTAGAGTTTTATATCACTTGCACTTCTAGAGACCTTAAGAAAGGCTTCCAAATTAGCAGCAACTACAGGGAAAAACACACCAAAAGGAAATGGCAAATGCCTTTTGCTCAACCATTTAAGGTTTAAGATTAGCTGCCACTCCAATCTGTCCCCTATACATTTTTAATTGATGGGGCACTATAACCACATACAAGTTAAATTGGTAAAGCATTCTCAATCACGGGTGCAACAAATATAGCCTCTTACAAGGCACGCCTCAAAATATGTTAACGTTACAGAAACAACAATACCATGGACCCACTATTGGTCAAAAGATTTTCTGTGGGGTGGAATTACATCACCATTAAATATACAGCAATTCTACTAAAATGCACCATTTATAGTATGCTGCAGTAAAATGTAAAAAGTTTTTTTTTTTACTGTTGATAATACCTCAAATTACCGTATAAATTACAGTTTTGTTTTATGTGAAAGAACACTTTCTGCACTGTTCAAATAATTTGTTATATTTAGTATAGTATAAGCTTCTATCTTAAGCATCCTAAATAATGCCATAGATTCAGATTTTGAAAAACAGTAAACTTGAAGGCAAAAAAGGGAAGCTTGATGTAAGATGCAAAGCTGGTATTCCAACTGATTATAGGCTACTGAAGCCAACAACTTACTGCTGCGCCACAGAGTTTTGATGAAAACAGTGGAGAAAAACAACATCTATCTGATAATCATTCGCTGCTATTTATTGCTAACCAGCAGATGTAACTAATGTGCATTGTGAACAGATAATGAAGCTCAGTTTTTTGGCACATTTTGGTGAAAGTGCTGAAGCCTTCATTAAGCATCGGTTTCCCATCACTAGAGTTTTATATCAGTTGCACTTCTAGAGACCTTAAGAAAGGCTTCCAAATTAGCAGCAACTACAGGGAAAAACACACCAAAAGGACATGGCAAATGCCTTTTGCTCAACCATTTAAGGTTTAAGATTAGCTGCCACTCCAATCTGTCCCCTATACATTTTTAATTGATGGGGCACTATAACCACATACAAGTTAAATTGGTAAAGCATTCTCAATCACGGGTGCAACAAATATAGCCTCTTACAAGGCATGCCTCAAAATATGTTAACGTTACAGAAACAACAATACCATGGACCCACTATTGGTCAAAATATTTTCTGTGGGGTGGAATTACAGCACCATTAAATATACAGCAATTCTACTAAAATGCACCATTTATAGTATGCTGCAGTAAAATGTAAAAGTTTTTTTTTTACTGTTGATAATACCTCAAATTACCGTATAAATTACAGTTTTCCATTACAGTGTTGAATCCATGATGCTCGTTGTGTTGGGTTATGGATATACTTGATCATCAAGATTATCTTACAGATGATTTTACCATTATCCATTAGCCTTTACATATGTTTAAATCAGTGATTTTGACTGTAAAATGTTGGCCATGTATAGACCCATATACTGAATTAATGTAATAACTGATCAAAAATGTAATGTCAATAGGTTTGTTTAGGTTTGTAGACCTTTTGTGAGTTTTGCTGAATAGTCACAAGGGCACCTGGATTATCAGAGTAGTGGGACATAGCCACAGGTGTAAACCTGGTTCGTATGGGTATTTGTGCTGAGATATGCAGGTGTAGATCCGGTTTATATTAGTATTGGGACTCGTAAAAAGTGTAGACCCAGTTTGTAGGAGTACTGGCGCTGAGGTGCAGGGCTGTAGCCAGGGTCTGAGTTTTAGACATTTTAAGAAAGTTGAAGCTCATTTACTGCATTTCTATACAATTTAAAAACTCTAAAATGCTATTTGGAGAACAGCAAAAACAAGCAAAAAAAAACAACAACCATTATCACATTGGTTGCTGTAGCTTCAGTCACCTCAGTCGATCTACAAACACATAGCCTATTGGCTATACAATTAGCCGCTACACATTAACTCACATTAACTCAGCACCAGGATTAAAACTATAATTGAATATGTACAGAGGGATCTGTTAGCAGAAAAATTATTTTATTCTCAAAAGGTAAATACGTTTGCTTAACATAACTTTGTTGTTGTTGCAGTTTTACAGCTAATTTCCTGCAATTCTACACATTTTGCCATGTGGTGGGGAGAAGTTTTTGCAGTTTTAAAAGCAAATTAAGTGACATTGGCTAATTGAGTGACTGTCAGCGAGTGACATAACGAGGAAAACTGCTGATGCACAACCAAGTTTCGAAATTGCAACTTGTGTATTCACAGAGAAAATCACAGAGGTCCGGACCTCGGTGTCCTTATATGTAGCTACGGCCTTGCTGTGCAGGGGTAGACCTGGTTTACAGTTTGAGTAATCAGGCTTTGGCACATTTAGACCTGGCTTAGTTGACTAATTGGGATCAAGCACAGGTGCAGACTTTGTAGGTATGTAAATTGGAGCTGAAGTACAGGTGTAGACCTGGTTTGTATTAATATTGGGGCTGAAATGCAGAAGTATACCTATTTTTATGGCAATTGGGTCTGACATGTAACATTATTGACAAAAATCTGTATTGGGTTAGATGTGCAGGTGTACACCTGGTCTGTAAGAATATCGGGGCTGAAGTACAAGTGTTGACCTGGTTTGTATGAGTGTTTAGGCTTGGGCACTGGGGTAGACCTGTTTTATATGCATATGCCCATGGACTTACCTGGTTTATATGTTTAATGGGGTGTAGGGATACACAAGGCTCATACAGGTAATTGGTCTATTGCCCATTCAAATCCTTTCTGGCAACAAGTTTGTGGTAGGAAAAAAAGTGAATGGGGCTAGAGCACATGTGTTATACCACTGTACTATGGGTTTATCTATGAAATGATAAGCGTATACAGGTCAAAGGTCATAGGACTAACATATGCAAATAACAGGTTTGGGGTGTGCAGCGAATAGCTTGATATACAGGTAACTGAAAAAATAAAGGAAACACTTAAAACGAGAGTTCTGGTGGCTCTGTTATGGTGTGGGGTGCATTTTCCTGGCACGGTTTAGATTTACTCAATACCTTAGAGGGCAAGGTAAACACCAAGAAATACACAGCCATTCTGAGTGATCACCTTCAATCTATGATGAATAATTTATATCCTGATGGGAGTGGTCTCTTCCAGGATGACAATGACACAATCCACAGGGCACGAGTGATCACTGAATGGTTTGATGAGCACGAAAATGATGTTTACCATATGCCATGGCCGTCTCAGTCACCAGATCTCAACCAAGTTTAACACTTTAACACAGATTCTGGAACGGTGCCTGAGACTGCGTTTTCCACCAGCATCAACAAAACACCAAATGATGGAATTTCTCGTGGAAGAATGGTGTCGCATCCCTCCAATAGATAGCCATACACTTGTAAAATCTATGCCAAGGCACACTGAAGCTGTTCTGACGACTTGTGGCGGCCCAACGCCCTATTAAGACACATTATATTGTTGTTTCCTTTATTTTGGCAGTTACCTTCAGGTTACTGTTGGTGACTTGGGGAATACAGGCCTAGGTAAAGTGGGTAACAGGGCTGAGATAGGCAAGTAACAGGGATGTGTATTGGCAAAGGAACTGGGGTCTATGATTAGCAAATAGGGCATTTAGGGCTAAGATATGGGTGCATCGGTACTTGATTGTATCAATATTAGGGTATTAGTATGTGGGTGTTAGGGTTAGGGCATGGGTTAACAGGGCTGGAGTACAATGCCAAGCGTCCCGTCTGGAGGATTCCTGGCACCGTCCCTACAGTGAAGCATGGTGGTGGCAGCATCATGCTGTGAGGATGTTTTTCAGCGGCAGGGACTGTGAGACTAGTCAGGATCAAGGAAAAGATGAACGGAGCAAAGTACAGAGAGATCCTTGATGAAAACCTGCTCCAGAGCTCAGACTGGGGCGAAGGTTCACCTTTCAACAGGACAACGACCCTAAGCAAACAGCCAAAACAACGCAGGAGTGGCTTCGGGACAAGTTTCTGAATGTCCTTGAGTGGCCCAGCCAGAGCCCGGACTTGATCCCGATCTAACGTCTCTGAAGAGACCTGAAAATAGCTGACAGATCTTGAGAGGATCTGCAGAGAAGAATGGGAGAAACTCCCCAAATACAGGTGTGGCAAGCTTGTAGCGTCATACCCAAGAAGACTCAAGGCTGTCTGAACCGGACCAAATCTGAACCAATCATAGACATCTATGTTTCACAAGTTTGGACAGCACAGTACAGTACAGCACAGCATAGCAGAGTACAGTACATTACAGTACAGCACAGTAAAGAAAAGTTGACTATAGTACAGTACAGTAGAGTACAGTACAATACAGTAGAGCACAGTACAGTAAATAAAAGTAAGTATAGTTCAGTACATTAGAGTACAGCACAGTAGAGTATAGTTCAGTATAATGTACTGTATTGTTTAATACTTTCCTCTAATGTACTCTACTGTACTGTACTCTACTGAATTAACTCTACTGTACTCTACTGATTTAAATTCTACTGTACACCTTACTGTACTGTACTGTGGTACTTTACTCAACCGAATAAAACCCTGATTTAACCCTGTAATAAAACAAATTGTAGTCTACAGAAGTTAATTGGTAAAATTCTTCCTCCTATTTTGCAAGTAAAGGTGCCTGGACAAACCTTTTGGGTTACCACACCAGCGGAACCTTTCCGGTTGAAAAAGGTTCCTCGAGTCTGAAAAGGGTCCTCGAGGTTCTTCGAGGAACCTCTGTGTAAAGGTCAATGATGTAAATAAACCCTGGACAGTGGGTGCTGCATTGAAGCCACCGCGCAGCCATCTTGGTACTCCTCCGTTGTAAAAAATATTTGCATTTATTCATGTCTACATTAATTTTTGACAAGTTTATTGTATGACAGACACCTTAATGCATACTTTTAAATTATATTATGTGAGCTAAACATAAAATAAATAATTAAAATATAAAAACACAAACTATATTGTACTAATGTTACTGTCCCCACTACAACAACAGAAAATACTTAAATACATGTCATTTTGTCCTTGAAACATTGAATTGAAATACTGTATTACTGTATAATAATTAGATTCATTCCTCTGGAGGACTGCTGTAAATCTCTCTCGGACCAGGTGACTTTTATCAACATATTCGGCTCTATTTATGCTCAGATTCGAAAATGCTAATTAGCATCAAAGTAGACATCATGCAAGACTACAAATCACTGCAAGCTCCTGCACGTCATCTCTAGCTGACACCTTTGCTAACTGGTATTGTGTCAATTTAAAACTTGCACAAAACATTTCACAGAATTGTCCATTTAAAGAAATGTAGCTAATTTATTCATTACTACATTTAGCTAACATTAGATAGTTGATCCAGAGATTCTTACCTTTGCCTCGATTCGGCAGTCTCGTCCAGATCATCATGGCATTTGTACTTCTTTATGATAACGACATTAGCATATAATTAGCATTTCATTTTTGGAGGGTAAATACAGGTGAATATATTGATAAAAGTCACCTTGTCCTAGAGAGATTTATACGGTTATCAAAACGTCACTCCAGGGTAAGCCTACATGAAACACAGCCCTTATTTTAAGTGTTTCAAAAAAAGAAAGATGGGAAAAATGAACGATTGTAACCATTTCCCTGTTTGACCGCTAGAGGTTCCTTGAGGATCTCCAGGGTTCATCGGGTCAACACTAATTCTAAGAGTGTACTGTGTACACTAAGACCAGTCACTGTCCTATTACTAGCTGGGTACAAATAACAGGTTATGGAATGTTATTGTAAGAGTGAAAATTGGAGTTGATGATCATTAATTAGTACTGCCTGACGTGTGTCCATAAATTCCTGTCTGTCACATGAACTGATTGGGATGGTAGTTGCTTCTAGAGAATCAAGTCTATCACTCCAGCCACAATTTGACAACCCCCACAAATTGGACCATGGTTTTATATTTGACCTCTCCTGCAGAATCTGATTCGGATGAAGAGTAAGGAGCTGAGGGAGAAGGGTGTGTACCAGGTGTTGGACTGGGTGGAGGCAGAGAGGCCCGACAGCATCAAGTTGTTCTGGAACTGTGTGTTCAGGGACCACCTCCTGCAGAAATACCCCACGTTACGCCTGCTACAAAACCGCCTGCTGAACGGTCAGTTCTGGAGCATTCACTCTTATTATTGTATTATAATGGCATTCGTTTGTATAAGTTAATATCGGTATATAATTCTAACTCCTAGTGTAATATAAATGTAGTCACAATGGTGGATACTTTGAAGTTGAGGTACAAAGCCCTGTCGAATTTGTATTTATTATAATTCTTTATTAGGTGTACATGAATTAGGTTGCGTGGTTTGCTCAATTTAGCCTCCAATCCCTTGTAGGATCGTTTACATTCTATGAGAAACTGCCAGAGAAGGTGGAGAAGGAAGAGGTGGAGGATAAGAAGAAGAAGGCTTCAGTGGAAGGAGAAGAGGAGGAGGAGGAGGAGGAGGAGGAGAAGAAGAAGACAGGAAGGAGAAAGAGGAAACAGAAAAAGAGAAGTGGGAGTATGGAGGAGGAGCAGCCCAGCACGTCCACCCAGTCCACCCCCAGTCAGAAGAGGAAAGTCCAGAGGCCCAAATACTGTGAGTCCCAGGCTTCATGTTCCCTGGGGGAAAGAGGAGGCCTTGAGTCGGAAAGTCTAAAGTACCTGTAAATAACTGTCAAATAGGAAAGATAGGGTCAGGAAAGATGGCAGACTGAACACAGCAGTGCAGATCACCTCAAGATAAAAACGTAATATTCAATATCTGTAAGTTAGACTAAATATTAGCACTTCACATACTGGTGGGTAATAACCTTCAATCTGGAAAAAAAAGACAAAACAAATCATAAGGCTAGAGAAATGTATTGACAAATATTACGAAAACAAGCAACACCCAAATATGACGGAGAGTAAACATTTTACATTTTAGTCATTTAGCAGACGCTCTTATCCAGAGCGACTTACAGTTTTAGTGAGTGCATACATTTTTCATACTGGCCCCCCGTGGGAATCGAACCCACAACCCTGGCGTTGCAAGCGCCATGCTCTACCAACTGAGCTACAGTTGGAGAACCAATCCCCATAAGGAAACGCGACTCCTCGATGGACACAGACGACTTAAGCTTTTCACCACCGGGAATGGTAAGGGTGGAAACCGATCTGTTAAAATGGATAAATGACAAACTGGGCATACTTGAATTAGTCAGTAAAGATATAAAGGAGTTGAAGGCGAGCCTTGAGATGAGTGACGAAAAAGCTGCGACAATAGAGAAAGAAACTAAAAAGCTAAAAGGGACAGTCAATAAGATTGAAACGGACAGTAATGAACTTAAAAAGGAGAACATTTTTCTGAGAGAAGCCTTACTTGACATACAGACTAGCTCTATGAGAGAAAATCTGGTACTTACTGGTATCCAAGAGAAAGAAGGAGATGTTCCTGAGGGTGTAGTGAGGTACTTCCTCCTTACAGCACTTCAGATTCCACGTGAAGCTGTCGACAAAATCCAACTCGAACGTGTACACCGTTTCGGACAGAGGGGACAGAGATATGAGCGCCCAATCGTTGCCAAATGTGCGTTTAAAAAATAAAATAATAATGGTTAAAAGCCTGGGTGAAAGACTTGCTGGCACGAAAATAGGCATGAATTATCATTTCCCGAAGGAAATTGTAGAACGGCGCAAAGTTCTGTACCCAGTCTTCAAAGATAATAGATTAAAGGGGAAACGTGTAGCACTCGTAGTCGATAAACTGTATATTGATAACCAAATGTTCAGAGACACAATGGCTATTCTAATAGAGGAGTGGAATAATGGAACAGCCAATACTAGCCATGGTAGGGATTGTAATAATAAAACACATTTATAGTATTTTATAAAGGGATAAGACGGCAATACAAGAAAAGATAACTAGCGAAATAATACATCTTCAGATATAACTCATTAGAACACAAAATTACTCAATCAACATAGTGGAGATAAAAACATAGCAAACAGAAGACATAGAAGGCACAGTATGTGGGTATGTGTGGATGTATTGTGATGGAATGTGTGGTGTGCGTTTTTGTGTTTGGAAAAGTGTGGCGTTAAGTGAGTGAAAGGAAATGGTTGCATATCCCAGAACCAATGTGTGTCTGTGAGCAGGGGTTGTGAGTGAGAGCTTTCAATTTTGTGCAGATGAAGGATATACAGTACCAGTCAAAAGTTTGGACACACCTACTCAATCATTTTTCACATTGTAGAATAATAGTGACGACATCAAAACTATGAAAAAACACACATGGAATCAAATCAAATCAAATCGAATTCAATTTTATTGGCCACATGCGCCGAATACAACTGGTGCAGACATTACAGTGAAATGCAGTGCAAATAGTCTGGGTAGCCATTATTAGCTGTTCAGGAGTCTTATGGCTTGGGGGTAGAAGCTGTTGAGAAGTCTTTTGGACCTAGACTTGGCACTCCGGTACCGCTTGCCGTGCGGTAGCAGAGAGAACAGTCTATGACTAGGGTGGCTGGAGTCTTTGATAATTTTGAGGGCCTTCCTCTGACACCGCCTGGTATAGAGGTCCTGGATGGCAGGAAGCTTGGCCCCAGTGATGTACTGGGCCGTACGCACTACCCTTTGTAGTGCCTTGCAGTCGGAGGCCAAGCAGTTGCCATACCAGGCGGTGATGCAACCAGTCAGGATGCTCTCGATGGTGCAGCTGTAGAACTTTTTGAGGATCTGAGGACCCCATGCCAAATCTTTTCAGTCTCCTGAGGGGGAATAGGCTTTGTTGTGCCCTCTTCACGACTGTCTTGGTGTGTTTGGACCATGATAGTTCGTTGGTGATGTGGACACCAAGGAACTTGAAGCTCTCAACCTGTTCCACTACAGCCCCGTCGATGAGAATGGGGGCGTGCTCAGTCCTCTTTTTTTTCCTGTAGTCCACAATCATCTCCTTTGTCTTGGTCACGTTGAGGGAGAGGTTGTTATCCTGGCACCACACGGCCAGGTCTCTGACTGTCAGCGGGTGCTGTAGGTGGGTGTGGTGCAGGAATCAGGCGCAGGACGCAGAAACTTAGTCCAAAAGACTTTAGTGAACAATCACTCATAACACGAGCCAAAAAGCCCGGAGGCGAGAAAGTACGCACACAGGCGTAAAACAAAATGCGCACTAACATGTGCGAGAACCCTCCCAAACAGAGGAGGAAAACAACTAAGCACAGACAACCAACAGAAGCGCAATCACACACAACACATGACAAACACAACGAGAACTTATAGGACAACTAATGAACGCTAAACGATAACAGGTGTACCACATCTAGACCAAACCAAACGAACATCGAAACATACAACGGTGGCAGCTAGTACTCCGGAGACGACGACCGCCGAAGCCTGCCCGAGCAAGGAAGAGAGGCAGCCTCGGCCGAAACCGTGACAGTACCCCCCCCCCCCTTGACGCGCGGCTCCAGCCGTGCGCCGACCCCGGCCTCGGGGACGACCAGGAGGACGCGGAGCAGGGCGCGTCGGGTGACTACGGTGGAATTCTGTCAGGAGAGACGGGTCCAAAATGTCTCTCCTCGGCACCCAGCACCGTTCCTCCGGGCCGTACCCCTCCCACTCCACGAGATATTGGAGATCCCCCATCCGACGTCTCGAATCCAAGATGGACCGCACGGTGTACGCCGGTGCCCCCTCGATGTCCAATGGGGCGGAGGAGTCTCTCTGATCTCATCTTCCTGGAGTGGACCAGCTACCACCGGCCTGAGAAGAGACACATGGAACGAGGGGTTAATACGATAATCACTAGGCAGTTGTAATCTGTAACACACCTCGTTCAATCTTCTCAGGACTTTGAATGGCCCCACAAACCGCCGACCCAGCTTCCGGCAGGGCAGGCGGAGGGGCAGGTTTCTGGTAGAGAGCCAGACTTGATCACCAGGTGAGTACACCGGCCCCTCACTGTGGTGGAGATCGGCGCTCGCCTTCTGACGATGGAGGGCCCGCTGCAGGTGGACGTGTGCAGCGTTCCACGTCTCCTACGAGCGCCGCACCCACTCATCCACCGCAGGAGCCTCGATCTGGCTCTGCTGCCATGGTGCCAGAACCGGCTGGTAACCTAACACACATTGGAAAGGGGTTAGGTTAGTTGAGGAGTGGCGTAGGGAATTCTGGGCCATTTCTGCCCAGGGAACGTACCGTGCCCACTCCTCCGGCCGGCCCTGGCAGTAAGATCTAAGAAACCTACCCACATCCTGGTTCACACGTTCCACCTGCCCATTACTCTCAGGATGGTAACCCGAGGTAAGGCTCACCAAGACCCCCAAACGCTCCATAAATGCTCTCCAGACTCTGGAGGTGAACTGGGGACCTCGATCAGACACAATATCCTCGGGTACCCCGTAGTGCCGGAAAACGTGGGTGAATAGAGCTTTGGCGGTCTGTAGGGCAGTAGGAAGGCCCGGCATAGGGAGCAAACGACAGGCCTTAGAGAACCGGTCCACAACGACCAGTATAGTAGTATTCCCCTGCGAGGGGGGAAGGTCAGTGACGAAGTCCACCGAGAGGTGAGACCATGGTCGTTGTGGAACGGGCAGGGGTTGTAACTTACCCCTAGGCAGATGTCTAGGCGCCTTACACTGGGCGCACACCGAGCAGGAGGAGACATAAACCCTCACATCCCTGGCTAACGTGGGCCACCAGTACTTAGCACTCAGGCAGTGCACTGTCCGGCCAATACCAGGATGTCCAGAGGAGGGTGACGTGTGAGCCCAATAGATCAATCGATCCCGAACCTCGAGCGGGACGTACGCCCGACCCTCCGGGCATTGAGGAGGACTAGGGTCGGTGCGCAACGCCCGCTCGATTTCAGCATCGACCTCCCACACTACCGGTGCCACCAGACAAGACTCTGGCAGTATGGGAGTGGGCTCCACGGACCTCTCCTCCGTGTCATACCGCCGAGACAGTGCATCTGCCTTACCGTTCTGTGACCCAGGGATGTATGTGATCTTAAATACGAACCGGGCCAAAACATGTTCCACCGTGCCTGGCGAGGGTTCAGTCTCCTAGCTGCCCGGATGTACTCCAGGTTACGGTGGTCAGTCAAAATGAGAAAAGGGTGTTGAGCCCCCTCAAGCCAATGCCTCCACACCTTTAGGGCCTGTACCACGGCTAACAGCTCCCTGTCCCCTACGTCATAATTTCGCTCCGCCGGACTGAGCTTTTTGGAATAAAAGGCACAGGGGCGGAGTTTAGGTGGCGTGCCGGACCGTTGCGAAAGCACGGCCCCTATACCGGCCTCTGACGCGTCCACCTCTACCTGAAATGGTAAAGCGGGATCCGGATGCGCCAGCACCGGAGCCGAAGTAAACAGGTCCTTCAGTCTCCCAAAAGCCCTGTCCGCCTCGGCTGACCACTGCAAACGCACCGGACCCCCCTTCAAATGAGACGTTATGGGAGCTGCCACCTGTCCAAAACCCTGGATAAACCTCCGGTAGTAATTTGCAAACCCCAAAAACTGCTGCACCTCTTTAACAGTGGTTGGAGTCTGCCAATTACGCACGGCTGACACCCGGTCAACCTCCATCTTCACCCCTGACGCAGACAACTG